CCGACGAGGAGAAGGCGATCGGCGCCATCCCCACGAAGCCCATCAACTCCGGCGACCTGGAGAGGATCTGCGCGGAACACCGAAAGTACCCGATCCTTTATAAGGTCGAGTTCCAGGTGAGGTGTTGCGATGGGTTTTTGTTTGTTTGTTTGTTTGGTTGGTTGGTTGGTTGGGTTTTGGTGTTTTTTTTATGTTGTTGTTTTTTTTAATGTTTTGTTTTTGTTTTGTTTTGTTTCTTTTTTTTGTTTTGTTTTTTGTTTTATGTTTTGTTTTTTGTTTTTTGTTTTATTTTGTTTTGATTTTTAATATTTTATTATTTTATTATTTTATTATTTTATTATTTTAGTATTCTAGTATTTCATTTTATTTTATTCTATTCTGTTTTATTCTATTCTATTTTATTCGGTTTTATTCTGTTTTATTTTATTATATTCTTTAATTTTATCATTATTATTAGTATTACTACTATTATTTATTTTAGGGGGTAGGAAGAGAGGGACGAGGAGAGGGAGGGAGGGAGTGTTTTGTTTAATGTTTTCTTTGCTGTGAAGTCTGTTTTGTTTTTGTTGGAGTTTCTTGTTTGTTTGTTTTTGTTTATTGTTTATTCGCACATTGTTTTCTGTATCTTGTTTTTGTTTTCTTCTGACGCGGATTTTCTTGTTATTTTATGTTTTGTTTATTTGTGCATTGTTTTCTGTTCTGAAGGTTTTTGTTTTTGTTTTGTTTATTTGTTGTTTCTGTTTTTTTTCTGTTCTTTGTTGTTTTCACGTGTTTTTGTTTTTGTTTATATTTTCTATCCTGGAGCCCTGTATTTTCTGATTTATTTTGACCGCCTTTGTTTGTCTGTTTTTTTTTGTTTGTTTGTTTTTAATATCCTCGGGTCTTGTTTATTTTGTTTTGTTTAATAATCTCGAGTCTCATAGTTACTATTGTATTATATAATATTATATTATATTATATTATACATGTTTTTTGGGGTTTGTGTGTTTTTGTGTTTTTGCTGTTTTTGTTTGCTAGATCTTCTTACTATTTTCATTTCATTATTTTTATATTTATTCACTTTTCCTCGGTTTTCAAGTCTGTCATTTCTGTCGTCGGTCGTTTCTTCGGGAATAATCAAAATATTTGAATTAATATAATGGCTGAAATGACTGGTGAATAAATAGCATAACTGGCAACTCACTCCTGGATTACTCCAATTCGCTAAATCTCTTCTGAGAATTAAAAAAAAAAAAAGAAAAAAAGTTGGATGAATCAGTGGCTCTGAAGGCCGTAAATTGAAGAAAAAAAGTTGAACCCCCGACTAGTTTTGAAAAGCAAATATATGTAATCTAAAGTACGTAGTGTCACTCCTTTGAATACAGATGAGGCTCGGGAAATCGGAATAGTCCTGAGTTGCCATTTTTTCTCTCTTCTGAAATTCGACGCAGTAACTGCCTTTGTTTGAAACTTTGCTATTATCTTATACTAAAAGTTACTATTTCCGTCTTTTGTCGATGTTAGATTTTCTTTGTTACTTTTCTTTAGATTTTTTTTCTGTCCAGAATATGCCGTGAATGTTCTTTTTTTTATTGTTTCGTGTGTATAGTTTATAGCAACTCTTAGTCTTGATTAAGTAGGCAAATCGATGGTTAAATGGTTAAATATCTAATAAAATTTCCCACCATACATTGACTAAAATATTTTTATGTTGTTTGGTTTCTAAAAATTAGGCCTTCATAAAAGTAGCAAATGGAGTATGAAATAATTTCATTGCATGGAAAAAAATAAAAGGATATGCTTACAAATCCTTATGCTTATGATATTTAGTTGACATTTTCGCTACGGGTAAATTTAAAACGGATACCTATATAAACACAACGGATATATGTGTACATAAAACGCAGATATATATATATATATATATATATATATATATATATCTATATATATATATATATATATATATATATATATATATATATATATATATATATATATATATATATATATATATATATATATATATATATATATATATATATATATATATATATATATATATATATATATATATATATATATATATATATATATATATATATATATATATATATATATATATATATATATATATATATATATATATATATATATATATATATATATATATATATATATATATATATATATATATATAATATATATATATATATATATATATATATATATATATATATATATAAGTTTATATATATATATATATATATATATATATATATATATATATATATATATATATACATATTCTTTTGGTTACAGACATTTATTCTCATATCATCTATTTACATGATCTAATATTGCCATATTCTGTTCACGTATCACACCAGGCTTAGGTAATGGTCAATGAAAGCAAATAATCTTACTATGTATGAAGGTTTAACAAATACCCAATCATTTTATAAAAAAAAGTTGTAAAACTAAACATCTGAACTGTATTAAGAAAACCAGTCTTCTTGAATTACCTCTCACGCCCTTGGTCGACCAGATAAGCCCGTAACACTAATTCTAAGCCTGAATTATCTATGGACTAAGTAAGCAAAATATTATATAGAGAGAGGTGATAGGGAGAGTGAGAGGGAGGGAGAGAGAGAGAGAAAGAGAAAAAGAGAGAGAGAGAGAAAGAGAGAAAGTGAGAAAGTGAGAAAGTGAGAAAGTGAGAAAGTGAGAAAGAGAGAAAGAGGGAAAGAGAGAGAGAGCCAGACAAACAGACAGACAGATAAACAGAGAGGTGAAAAAAAGAAAGGACGAGCACTGAAAAGGCGCCTTTGGGGTCGTAGAGACATAGGTATAATGACAAAATAGAATTCCCAAAGAGCTTAAAAGCATAAAAGCAAAGGTAAAAAGATAATGATAATTAAAAAAAAAAGCATTGCCAAGATTCTTTTACGCATTGATTTCGTACGATATATATATTTCTTTAAAGAAAATGACAAGAGACGTTATTTGGTTATTGATTTCGCACTGTATTTTGGGATAGGAACTAAAAAAAAAATATATGAATAAAAGATGATACGCGGCGTGATTGAACTATTTTGCTTTACGGAATAGACTAAGAAAAGGACAAAGGACAATAGACTTTTTATACTGGGCATATTAGGTGGTAAGAACGGTGACAGGGATAATAATGATGATAATGAAAATGACAATGACAATGATGATTACTCGATATTGATGATAATATAATGATAATTATTCCTGTTATTATCAATATCATTCTGATTATCGATAGTAGTAATTATAATAATGACAAGTAGATATTTACTTGTCATTATTATTAGTTAGTTAATTCCTATACTCAGCCTAGTGAGCGATATTACCTTCACAAACAAGACAACGCGATCTGTGTTTACTGAATGGAAAATGTGAATAGTAAATACCCATGCCCAAACTAAAATAAAAAGGATTGAAAACCATTTCATGGCATTTCAGGCCCTTTGTGAATGTCTAAGTAAATGCTCCTAGTTTCACTCTGACTGTTGATGATTTAGATCACGTGGTTAAATATAATCTTAGGGTACGTCGGGATTTATTAAGTGACAGAAGCGCATGTGATTCAAAAGTATATGTATGTTACTAGGGTGGAGATAGGTTCGAATCGCTTTAGTTTAAGTATAGATGCATTGAGTGCGTACGGGCTGTCTATCTGTATGTCAAAAAGACTTATAGATAGACAGTCAGACAGACAGACATACAGCCGGATAGACAGACAGACAGATAGAAAGACAAACATACAGATAGACAGACAGATAGATAGATAAACAGGCAGATAGATGTACAGTGAGGCAGACAGACAAGCAACCAGATATAGAAATAGATAGATAAATAGCAGATAGTCAAAAAGACAAATAGATAGATAGACACGCAGGCAGTCAGGCAGGCAGACAGACAGACAGATTGATTGATTGACAAACATAAAAGTTGTTAAATAAACAGGCAGATAGTCAAAAAGACAAATACATAGACAGATGAACAAACAGACAGACATAAAAATAGGCAGATAGACAGACAGACAGTCAGACAGACAGATCGACAGACAGATCGACAGACAGATCGACAGACAGATCGTAGTTAAATCCTTCGAGCGACTTCTACCTCCTTCGCCTCGCGTGGAGACGATCCAGGCGTGAAATCGGATCAAGTAGGTAGTGAATGTGTGGATAAAAGATGGATGGATAAATAAAGAGACTGGTGTATGGATAGATAGATAAAATGGTAAAGAGAGAAAGGTGGGGAGGGCTACTGATAAATTAGGTGTGTGTTTTAGGGGAAGGTGGATCGGAGAATTCTGGTTGGTTACGCGCGCACACAGACAGACACACACACACACACACACACACACACACACACACACACACACACACACACACACACACACACACACACACACACACACGCCCACGCACGCCCCCCCCCCCACATATATATATATATCATTATAGATATAATACCGAAACGATTAGGTCCATAACGTCTGTTCCATGGCCGCCCCTAACCCCGCCCTCCTCCCGCAGATGGCGACGAAGGTGGAGTGCCACTCCATGCGGCACGCGCTCAAGGAGGCCAACGAACTCAAGAACCAGAACAAGAGGGTGCTTCCGTGTAAGTGAACAAGTCCCTAATGCACAACTTTTACGCATGTATTGCACGTTGCATTGCCCCTTTATGGGACGTTACTCTGCAATGCCGCCTGCTGGATGTGACCGCTGGCGCCTTGCGTTGTAAAAGTAAGAGTGTAAAAAATAGAAGGTGTGGTTTAACGGCCCACGGCACGGTTTGGATTTTATTTTTACTGTCACGCAATTGGTTGTGTACGAATGCCGATTGAAGTTCTCTTAAATGAAACACTTTTGTGGATTCTTGTATTATTGTTATTGCTCTCTCATTGTGTTCTCCGTGTGTGTCTCCACAATTCCAATAATCCCTCTCAGTTCTATATATCTATTTATTAATGCATCTTCCTTTTTTTTTCTTTCGCTTTCTTTCTGTTTAGTGCTGCCCGTAGTATTTTTTTTCCCTCAGACATTTCCTTACGTCGTTCCATCCTTTAGTATTGATCTGTACCTCTTCCTTAAGTAGTGCTCTTTGGTGCCCAGTTAGTGCTTCAGTTTTATGCGTTGTGGCTTCTTCCTTTGTCGCTTTCTCACTTCCTTTACTGTTGTCGTGGACTCTCCAATGTTACTATTGCTACTCTCTCACAACGTTGATATCTACTATTGTTACTATGCTACTATTGTTACGTACCTGCCAGCGTTACTATTGTCACTGTCTCCCAACTTTACTTTTGTTACTATCTTCCAACGTTACTATTAACTTTCTTTATTTTCTTCATGACGTCCAGCTTAACGAAGCTTACGAGAGAGATTTTTTTCCACTATTTCGAAAAAAGAGACCAGATAATGTTGCAAGATATTACCTCCATTAGAGGCTATAAAGATATAAACTGCTTAGAAGCAACGTTCAGGTCAAGAATTCGTTGTGCACGATATGTCGTTGCAATATTTCCAGGAAGGAAGGGAAGAGAGAAGAAAATTATAAAGTGATTTTATCTTTATTCTGGTAACATAGTCGGATTCATAGTTGTATAGATTCATTTAACAGTTAACTATTACCCATTCAAACATTTACAGAATTATTAATTCAACGAACCGTATGTTGACAAATGTAGGAAAGGTATGCATGAAAAGGATTATATTCATCCTCATGCATACCTTTTCTACATATCAATTCAAAGTTACTCATTCACCATTTATGGAAGTATTGTTTCAACATTTCTTCTCTAAAAAATCAACAATTACTCATTCAACGTTTGTTAAATTAATCATTTAACATTTAACAATTATTAATTCAACATTTATGGAATTACACTTAACAAATATTCACTCAACATCTGTGGAATGATTCCTTCAATATTCAAAACTTACTCATTAAGCATCTGTCACAGTGACCTCGATAAACTGAATATTTTTTTTGATAGGCGCCAGCAGTGTCCAAACTATGATGACCATTTGTCAAAAATCAGCTCATAATTAAAGACAGATAATAGTCATTAATGAAAATAGCGAGTCCATAAAGATCTAAAATAACTTTTAATGACTCTACGTAAGCTGAATACATTACCGGTATCATTTGCTTATATAAATTACAAAATATTTAAGCGAATCCCACGCTGGTTATAATTCAGTTTGTGATGATAATTTTGTGCATTTCGGATTAGCAACGCAGTCTTTAAGTGGATCAATCATAGCGCTTCACACAAAACGTGCTTTGAGTATCCTGTACTGGAATAGGCCGAGCGGGGTACCTCATACCGGGAAGACCAAAACCGGGTGTCCAGAACTGGTATCGGACGAAACAGTGGGATTAGCGAATTGAGTATCAATTTGATCGGCTTTAGATATTTTGTGATATTTAGAGTAATATTAATGCAAAAGATGTGCTGTAATTCCTTATCGGTATAAGATTTGGACTGTTTTGACTATACACTACTACTATATGACGATGTGACCGCTAATATCCACCCCTTCGTTACGGGTTGAATGTACGCTGTTACAAGGAACTACTTATAATATCTATTCGGTGGTGAATTTAGTTCGATGAAAACTGACAGAAAAGCATAGAGAGTTATTATGTCAGATATGAGAGGGGAATATGAATGTAAATCACTAAGTTTTGTTAATGATAATGACATTAAAATTAACCATAATGATGGTAATGAAAATGATAATGATAATAATAATGAAATAATAATAATGATAAAAATGGTGAGGGTGATTATGATAATACTAATATGGGTAATGACAATAATATTGATAATGATAATAACGCTGATAATGATAATAATAATAATAATAATAATAATATTAATAATAATAATAATAATAATAATAATGATAATAATAATAATGATAATAATAATAATAATAATGATAATGATAATAGTATTAATAATAATAAGAATGATAATGATAATAAAAATAAAGATAGTTGCAGCAGCAGCAGTATTAGCAGTGGCATCAGCTGTTCTAGTGGTAATGGTAGTAATGATAAGATAGTGGTCATTCTCCGCTCATTTTCCTTCTCAAGCGAAATGATTGCATTATTGATCACGATATATTAAGAGAGTAGCAAACGCAGCAGTAATAACCACAGCAATAGCGATTATTTCCTAGAATCCACAATTACCGGATACATATTACAGAATTCAAATTATGGAGTCACTGTTGTATCGTAGGATATCATGATTATGTGATAATTCGCTCTCCGTGAATATGATAAAAGATGATACAGGTGGTTTTAATCGCATTACATGGTAGCTTAGGAAAAGTAATTAGCATTTTACCAGGACAGGATTCGTGAGTGTTGGTTAAAAAGTTGATGACAATACACACACACACATACACACACACACATACACACACACACACACACACACACACACACACACACACACACACACAC